GTGTGTGTGTGTGTGTGTGTGTGTGTGTGTGTGTGTGTGTGTGTGTGTGTGCTTTCAAATAATTTTGTACACAGAAGTAAGCGTTACATTTTACATGTTTATGCTTAAACGTACAATGGGTGGGGAAAAAAACTAGTAAATTCAATACCTGAGAGAGATAAAGAGAAAGGTGGGGGTAGAAAGAGAGGAGAGAGAGAGAGAGAGAGAGAGAGAGAGAGAGAGAGAGAGAGAAGAGGGAGAGGGTAGGAATAAAATGGGTGTCGTATGGTGTGAAATAAATACGAAAAGTAAAAATGCCCCCTTTGTGCAGCTGTGACCAATGCGCCATAGAAAAGTACTCTCGTATGGAGCTCTTGGTATAGATTACTCCGGGACTACAGATATACCAAAGTGCCTCTACTCAGCATTTAAAACAAATAATTGCCCCAAAATTGTGTTTCTGAAAGTTTTTGACAAAAAGGTTTTCACCAGTTTTAGAATCATCTTGTAGGGGATAATTTCCCTCATATCATAATTCATTCAACTCGATCCTTTGGACTCGACTTTTTTTCTTTGTCCCTATCTTTCTTTCCTTTCCGAAGAGTGATGTTTAATTCTGTCTCTCTCTTTCCAGCCTGCTCAAAATTTTTAGTAAAACACTCCTGTAAAGGTCTACTTCAGACCCCAAGGTTACTTTACTTTATTTTACTTTACTTTTATTTTATTTTTTTCTGTCCTCTATATCACTAGGTGTTTAGGGAAGATGTGATTGTCAGTCGTGGGTCAGGTGTTTTTCTGCTCGAATGGTAATGTCATTCGCTTGGAAGGTTCTTTCACTCCTTTCATAATCTTTTCTTTGGCCTTCCTTTTTCTTTGAAGCCATCGAATCGCACGGTGTAGATCTAGGCCTTGGTGGATGGCTGATGTTCCCCATTCTCATTATAAGCTAAAACCACCTTATTTGTTGTCTTTCGATATAGTTTTGTTGTTATTAAGAAACAGCTAGTTTAAAATAATCTTTTGCACATGACGTCACTGAGAGCCAGAGAGAGTGAAGACCCCGGCTGCGCCTAGTAAGTCAAGTGGGTTCCAAATGGAGGGATTAAGAGAACCTTTGCCCATGCTTTAGTATCCCCCCATCCCACAAACACACACACACACACACACACACACACCCAAACCCCACACCCCTGCCTATCCTTTGCATCATAATCTTCTATTTTTATTTTTATTATTCTATTTCAGAATCCGTTCCCAAGTGAAAATAGACCGCCATTTATCAAGATCAGTCTCGTAAAATAAGTCAGATTAACTCCTCCCTTGCCAAACCAGCTTGTTAATCCATTAGAAGATCTTGATGCAGTCCCCGGCCAAAGACAACGATTGTGTAGCGATTACAAGACTCGAAATAATTGCAAGATTGCGGGTTGGGGATTTCGAAGCTCAGGTCTGTCGTTGTGTCCTTGGGAAACGCACTTTAACACAGATTTTTCACATCTGGCTTGTTCCTATCAGAGATGAAGGATAAATTCAGGTGTCCTTCCTCTTAGATACCCATACAGTGTTGCAAGAGACGTTAAACTTACACAATTCACACATTATTTTGTTTTTCCTCCTGCCAGAGTGTGGGGTTAAAAGTTGTTAATCCGTTTAACCGATATCATAAGAAACTTTGGTATACATCTTTATGTTTTCGTCAGAATAGGGGTGGTTACTGAAGTGTTCTTTAGCAACACACACCGACCCTACCTCATCAAAGGGCACTGAACTGTGGTGAATAGTAATGTCGTGTGCCTAACAGTCTATGTATAAGTGTTATACTGTTTGATATTTGTACATGTATACAGCGCTGACATAACTTCTGAATAATTTGTACTCCTTACTAACTGTATTCCAGATTTCCTTAAGGAGATAATTATTATATAACACATTTCTTTCTTCTTTCTTTTCTGTGTGGTTGTTACAAGGGGGCGCCATGTTACTCCAGCCTTCACCCTTTGCCCGGGGAGCAAGACAGAGCCTGCTCAACGACAACTTGCTTGGCGGAGTGGCCTCCCCTCGAAACTCCTTCGGCTTCGCGGATTTCCGAAATGGCGGCACTGCCGGAGGGCTTGGTTTAGGGGTGGCTGCTTATCCTGCGGGTGAGGATTGATGCTCTAGGTTTGATTATTTTTTTTGGGAATGTTTTCAAACAGGTTTGTGTTTACACACACACACACACACACACACACACACACACACACACACACACACACA